CAGAGCAGGGAACTGACTGACAAAAGACATTCTCAGCAAAACATCACCATTTCAAACAAAGCTTTTTTTACACCTGGATTTCCCCACCAAGGTCTCCAGACAAACAGGAACAAGAAAAACTTCTCCAGGGTTGCATCAGGAAGGAACAAACAGTGCAAGGCTGCAGGAACAAGCCTGCACTGATGGTTTTTCTCCTCCCTGTGTATCAAGGAGGGAAATGGAGCATTGAGGAGCCTCCAGGCTGCTGCTCTGCAGCCAAAGGCAGGGCAAGGTGACCCTGTAGCCCACATTCTGCTCAATGCCTTGCACAGATGATGCTCCTCCAGCTCACTGCAATGCAACACTGGCTGTGGGTCCTGTCCAGGCCAGCAGAAACTCGCTCAGAGATGGAGCAATCTGCTGCCTCTCCGCTCCTCTGAGGGCTGCCAGGGCCAAGATCCACCCCAAACCCCAAAAAAGCAGCAGCAGGGAAGCTCAGGGCTCTGTTCCCAAGCCAAGAGTCCCTGACTCAGCACCACCGTGTTCCCCTGCAGGGAATAATCTCATTTTCCTGCTGAAGAACCCACCCTGACACTGCCCAGCTCACCTCCCATTACTGATCACATCCCTGTGCATTTCAGCAGCCCCTTATCAGATGGTTTTCAGCATTGTTTTAAAGCTTTGCTCGCGTTTTCTTTGAATATTTAAATGTTCTTGCTGGCCTGGTTTTCCTTCCCTATGCAGAGCATTGATTTATGTTGCTAGATACCATATCTCCCTGCCTTGCCAAAAGCATGCATTTGGGAATGATTTCAGGGCTGCTGGTCATATTTTTCTCCCTCTTTTTATTCTGCACTTTATTTTTATTAACTTTTTTGTTGGAGGCGCCGTAAAAATGAAACTGTGGCTCGAAGGAACAACACTCATCAAACCCCCCAAACCAAAGCAAGCTGGAAGGCAGCGGCCATTCCCACCTGGAAGATGCAGCATAATTTCAGTTTCCAGTCCTTAAAAGATGAAAATTCACAGTCCCAGGTCTCAAACATCTTCACTTTTCCCTCTGGGGAGGTGGGAAACAAACTGGCCCCAGGTTTGCAGCTCTGTGTCGTCACAGGAGCTCCCCTATTTTTCCACACTCCCCAAAACTTCACAGTCCTTAAAAGATGAAAATTCACAGCCCCAGGTCTCAAATACCTTCCCCAAAAAGATGGGACACAAATAAAATGAATGATTTTCATTCAATCCTTCAGGATCTCAAACACCTTCACCTTTCACTCTGAGGAAGTGGGAATCAAACTGACCTCAGGTTTGCAGCTCTGTGCTG